AACTCCGTTGGTCTTTGGCCTACTCTAACAAGGCTTGTATATTTCAAAAAGGGCATAATACTTCACTATATGAACTCACTGCAATGTCCTTTTACTGACAAGGCAGGTATATACACTACTGATGGTTAGCACCTCCTTCTTCACCAGCTTTGCCAGTATCAGACTCAGAGCATTTAGTAACCTAGCCCTAGCAGATAGCTCATTATTCAAATTCTGTTAGTCTTTGGATAGTACTGGAATAGGCAGGACCCAGTGGGAGTGCCAATCTCAAACACAAAGAATGTCAAAATAGGATAACTAGGCTTTGAATCTTCTGGCTTGAATGGCTAAGGAAAAACAGTGTAACTTTCTATATAATTTCTTTTTTTTTTCTACAGGCTAACTCATACCTTTATCTGCAGGTATAATATTCGTATTTAGTAACAAAGACAATGTTGTGTTAAGAAAACTGCTATTCTTTTCCTTTTGACATTTAAAGGGAAAGAAATAGAATAAAGGCAGCAAATGGGCAAAAAAGCATCATTTCATAACTTTATGACTCTTAAAGTACTTGTAAATGTAAGAATACAGTACACAGCAAGTGAACTTCGTGAATTATTTGGGAAGACCCATGTCATAGCAATGCTGCAGCTAAGAAGAAATGGTTCTGATTCATAACCCAGAATAGTGAACAGATGCAAAATTATCATCTAAAATATTAAAACCCGTTCCTGGGAACAACAAGGTTGCATGTGACAGCATGATAGATTTTTGTTTAAGAAAATGAATAATTCAAAAATTTTAACAGAATTACCTTGTGGAACCAGTCTTTTTATACCCCTTGGGAACTTCAGTCATACCAGGAAACTGTCAACATGCATTATTTATGCAAGAGCAGAACACAGCAAACCAAAGTATCTATTGTAAAATATTTATAATAAACTTGTCTCCAGAAACTTGCTGATAAAAACCCAACAGCAAGTTCAAACACACACACACACACACACACACACAGGAATGCCTATCAAGTAGCAGTGGTCATCTGCCATCCTGGGAAAGGATGGTTAGCTATCAGCATGAGGAAATTGATTGTGGCAGATAGCTGAAGGGTTGCATGAATCCATACTTGCATATACAATATGTGCATACCTGTAATATTATTCCCTTTTGGATATAAACCATATTCTGCAAAACTCAGAAAAGCATATGAAATAGTGAACCAGCAAAATTAAAGGCATGCAGGAAGAAAAAGGAACACAGATAAAATTAGTTTCTAGCAACACCATGCAACATGTATCTTTCTATCCTGGCAAACCATTTCTGTTTCCATTACAGCAGTGCACTGCTTTTTACACTGCCTCTTGTTTGTTAAACATTTCATTTCTTCCTTTTTTCAGGATCTCTTTGGCTCCACATAGCCATGACTTTCTCACTCTTCCCTTTCCTCTTTATTTATTTGCTCTTCCTTCAATGGTTTGTTCTGAGTTTTGATCCTCATTCATTCTCTTCATATGACCAAGCCACCACAATACATTTCTTTCCTTTGGTTCATTCACATTCATATTCAGTATAAGGTCTTTCAGCACCCATGTATCCTTTATCCTATCTCTCATGGTTTATCACATACTTAAGTAGCCCGTTCCCACTTCATTACATTGTTTACATTTGTCTTGACACTTGCAACTCTTACATTTCCATAAGGAAGGAAATAGGCTCTTAAATTCAACCATTTTATCTTCTTTCATCATTCTTTGCAAAAGACCACATATTATCCATCTATCATTCTACATGTTTTAAAATTTCATTTCCTCCTCTATATAAACACTCTATTGGAGTGTACATATTCATCTACCATATTTTCCGGCATATAAGGCATCCCAGCATATAAGATGACCCCTGACTTCGGCACCAAGTTGCATACCTAGAAAGTCGTCTTATACGCCAGAAACTACAGTAATTTCTGGCGTATAAGACGACTCGGTGTATAAGATGACCCCCAACTTTGGCGCCAATTTCAATGCTTTAGAAAGTCGTCTTATATGTCGGAAAGTACAGTACTTGCTCTATTTTTTGCCATTTATATGTGACTTGCAATTATGCAGTCCATTTACTCTATCACTTACAATTGCATTTGTCTTTGATACACAGGCTTTCAGTTCCATGTCACTGCATTACGTAACCTAACATTCAATGAATGCCATTCAGGTTCTTAGCCAACCCAGTGATTTCTGCATACAAAAGTACATTCACATTCCCAGACAACATATCTCTACCATCATCACAAACACCCCATGTATATGATGCAAAGCTTTAAAAACTTGATTATGGGGCCAGGATTTAAGCTGAGCCTTGCTGTATGGTTGTACAATGTAAAGGGTTTTTTTGAGGATCTTTGATGCATTTTAATGGATCTCAAAGCCTCTCCTCTCTTTGTTTCTCCATTTCTCCAGACTGTGCTTTGGAAGTTTTAGACTTCCCTCAAATCCACATCCCAGAATGAAACAAACCTTTAGCAGTCCCATTTAGGCTTATTTGTCATCTATGAGCTTTCTTAAAGCTATCAATTTGCATCAGTTACTGTTGTGTAGATCCATCTTATTTAGAACAATAGAGCTGGAAAGGACTCCTGCTCCAGCAGGAGACCTATACATTTAAGACAAATGGTTGTCCAGACTCTTTTTGAAAGCCTCCACAACTTGTGAAGGCAAGCTATTCCATTAGTTGATTGCTCTCACCATTAGGAAAATTCTCCTTAGTTCTAGATTGCTTCTCTCCTTGGTTAATTTCCAACCATTGTTTCTTGTCTTGCCTTTTGGTGCTTTGGAGAATAGTTTGACCCCCTCATCTTTATAGCAGCCTCTCAAATACCGAAGCACTGCTAACATGTCACCCTTATTCCTTCTTTCCATTAGACTAGACATACCCAATTCCTGTAACTGTTCTTCATATCTTTTAGCCTCCAGCCCCCTATTTATTTCTGCACTCTTTCCAGAGTCTTGACATTTTTTTTTGTATTGTGTGACATGTTAGCCATTACACACCTCCACCATTTCCCAGAACTCCTCTATTTTAAGTCATCACTCCCAAAGCCAGTCCAAGAGCCATTGTTTCTTCTATGAGAATATTTTCCAATAGAAAATGCAATTTACTTCAAATTTCAGTTTCTCTGATTAGCTGGCTAGGACGATATGTTTAGGTATCTGCATGTGTATGTGAACAGCCAGCAGGAAGCCATGGCTATATGCAGGCAATTGTACACAACACTGGAAAAATAAGAATTAAATGATCTTAAATAGATTGCTATAGGCACAAAGATTTGCTAGATACCACATGAGTCTTAACTTTTATTCCATTCAGATACTGCCCCCCTTTTTTAAGTGAGAGACACTATCATTCTGATGAGTCACAATCTGCTAACTGTCATAGTATTCTGAAGCTTATTTATTTTCTCATACACTTACAGAATTATACAACACTTCCCAGAATTATACAACACCTGAGAACTAAATATGAACTAGATTTAAAGGGGAAAAACTAATAAAACAGGTGCTTTCATAATCTTATCATAAAGCATATAAAGTATGCCATCATTTTCTAGATGAAGAAAGTGCAAAAGCAAGATATAACCTGCCACTTTTTCTTGTACTTCTTTTTTTCCTCAAACAACAGAAAACTAGTGCTTACAAAAAGCAATAGGTGAGCAGATAACTTTACAGATTTAAGAACTTGTTTCAGGGATTTTTTTAAAAAGCATATTTGCATATGAATTTCTAGTGGAAAAAAACAATTTTGCAGTCATGCCAACCTCCCTTACACATCAGAACAATGAAGTGTCTTCTTTCCTGATGAAACTGTTCCCACAAATCCCATTATCATGAAGGTATAATGATAATAATGCGAACAGAAGCAAGACTGCAAATCACCAATCTCTCTTCTCATTAACAAAATGCCTTCCCATATAGCAGTTTAATGAAACAGCAGAATATCAGGGATTCTCACAGGTATCTGTATCTTCTTACTTAGCATATTAATATTTCTATGTATATCATTAAAAATGTATCCAATTTTTTACTGTTATCCAGTTGCCTGGTGATGCTTTCATATCATATTTATTTTACTTCTTGACTAATAAATATTAAATGAACTAAGAAACCTAATTTGGCCATAATTGCTTATTCTTCTTTTTGCCCCATCTTCTGGAAAACTGAGAAGTGATACTATGCAGTCTTTGATGGATTCTGAACTTGGCAGTCTACTTGCAGACATTTCATTACACAAATGAAATGTCTGATGGACTGATAACATCATAATACATTAATGTTGTTACCTAATTGGGTAATGAAATGTCTGCAAGAAAGCAAGCTCAGAGAGCACCAAGGATTCTATAGTTCAATCCTAAGCTACGTATATTCTCTTCTATGAGAAGTTATATTTATATTGATGGCAAATCACTTTTCTATATTTACACTATCAGTCTGCTAATGAAATAGTATACTTAGCATCAAATAATGTTTAAATAAATAAATCATGATCTCTAAATTAATTTGCTGTTTAGTAGAGAATGCTAAACAATTTGCATTCAGGTCATGTTTTCTAGTTCTACTACTAAATCGTTCTACATGTTTCTTGACATAGAGGGGGAAATGCTTCTGCTGAACAAATCCTTCTATTAGCAGAACTGGGGGCCAGAAAAAAGTCAAGGTCAAGAACTTTGAAAGTTTACTCAGAGCATTCTCCATATCACCAGAACCATTTTTGAGGTTGGAGGGAGTCCAGGTCTGCTCATAAAATCTTGGGTTTTAATACATCCTATTTGTTAAAATAGAAACCCTTCCATAACTTTAGCAGAGTCATTTAGAGTTGGGCAGTGGTAAAATCAAATCAATAAAACAAAACTCAAATATTATTGGATCACTTTAACAGTACTAGAACCATCTAGGTCTAGGAAGTATGATTAAAAAAAATAACTCATTGGGCTGTAGGCCTTAATCAGGACTGATAAAACAAAACATTTGACTTACCTGATAAGGAACCTATGTAATCCAACATCAAAACTTCTGTGGAAGAAAGAAAAGGAAAAGGAAGGGGAAGAGAAAAAAAGAAAAATATATTATAATATATTATAATTATATAATTTTTATATCATGATCAAATTATGAGAAAGAAAACTTATTTTCATTGGTCGCCCAGTTAATCTTAGTAAGTTTCTTGGTTCAGATAAAATGAAAACTATAATTAGCCAAAAGAAGGAAAAATGAATTATTTTTCTGAATTATTCTTCTAGCCATATAAGAAAATGAATGGAGAAAGGACTAAAACCTGAGATTCACTGTAGATTTTCCTACTTTAAACTTTGCTTAGTGGGACATGAAGGTGTAACCACTGATACTGAAAAATGAGCTTGGAACCACACTTTAAAAAATAAATAGATATTAAATTATGCTATTGATCTAAACCTAGGTAGAGAACAAAAGACCTACAGTATGTAATGTCTTTACTCAGATCTTTTCAGGTTCTATTGTCTTCCAAAAAAACCCCAACTAATTTTGGATGTTTGTTAATCTTTTTGATTACTCCAATTCCTAAAACAATATTAAAAATTAGGAATAATTAGTATAAAGTCAGATCCTAAGGTAGCCATTTTCAACCACTGTAGTCTCACAGCACATTTATGTGGCACAAAAGATCTGGACAGGTGCTACATTACTTGTGAGCCACAAATAAAGGATGGGAAGTCAACTCCACCTCTCCCATCACCAAGAGTGGACTACCTCAATTTTTCATCCTAAGGAATATTCTGTCATCACAAAGATGGCAATTAAAACACTTCTTCCTTTTTCAGCATCTTATCTATGTGAGGCTGGTTTCTAGTTATGATACAATAAAGAGCAACAATAGATTGTGGCTTCAAACATTAGAGAAGGACTTCAGGATATTCTTGTCAACCATCCACGTTTGGACAAAGGACATCATGAAACATCACCAAGCACAGATTTCCCACAAATTTATTTTAATTATTGAATGCTAAGCCAAATCTTAAAGGCTTTTTTTTAATGAGACCTTTAAAAACTTATGGTGTGCCTTGACAATTTTAACACTTGTTAATGTGACATGAGATGAAAAATATTGAAAAGCACTATCCTACAGTATCACACATGCCCTGAAGTTATTTGCCAGGAGTTCTTATTTCACCAGGAGTACTTTTTTCTCAGCATGGCCATTTTGAGAGTAGTTTGACACTGTTACTGCCTTACCAGGCAGCTTACAAAACAGAATGTAGGATATATTATTCTTATTACACCTCAGGCTCTAATTGGTAAAAGCAGACACAACTCCGTGGTGCCAGATTATATCACTTGAAACCTGCCCCTGAGGATTTTTCTCCATCATTTATTTACTGAAGCAATTTTGTCAGAAAAGAAGGGGCTACACATTCATTAGAGAAGGCAAAGGGTAGGTAGAATATCTTTTAGAGGAAATCTTATTTACATAGCAAACAATTTCATACTGAGGTAGTCAAAATATGCTCTGCTTTTCAGATCCCCCTGGATTTCATCATCACAAATAAGCATGACCAAGAATCAGGAGGAATGGGATATGGCTGATGTACATAGTTTTTCTTCTAGCTTATTATAATAATCTTTTGAAGAATGCAAGCCAATAAGCTGCCTTTCCTCATCATTTTGCAAAGGTAATTCTTTATGAGGAAACTGAAGCTAGTAATCACCAAGAACTCCTCAATTCATAGGTTCATAATGTAATAATCAATATGCAAGAATTTGAGTTAATACTACTGGTACCATTATTTTAAGGATTTCTATAAAAGGAAAACCTAGACATGTGTGCTTTTTATCTAATTCATGTTAAATAGATGGACCTATGTAGAACAACCACATGAGAAAGTCATTATGTGGTATGATTACAGACTTCTATATACTTGTATATAGAAAGCCCACTTTGTCTTAATTTCAGTTTTAAATGCCTAAATCGGCTTTGGTTTGAAGGGAAGAAAGCCTGACAAAGCAAGAGCAGCTAAGGCAAGAGACAACGCAGGAGATTTGAAAATAATAGTTGAAGGAGATCAGGGTTGACCTTGAGATGAAGGAAGAAAAGGGGTTTAAAAGGCTTGAACAAACAATGTGGACTGGGGTCAAGTAAAAGTTCCTTCACAGCAAATTGACTCAAGAACCTGAAAGGACAGCTCAAAGAGAAATCAATAATGAAAACAAAGCTGAAGAGAAACACAATTAAACTTTGGAGTTTATGTTTCCGTGTTTTCTAATGTTAAGAAGTCATAGAAACAACTTAAGTATCAATAGTCAATATTTCCATCTAGAGGAGTGTTTGAACAGATGATGAGGCATCTATCTATAGTGGTACTATTTTCTTACTTTCCTATCAGAAAGTGTGAATCTTTCCTTCCCTCTTTCGGGAAAGAAAAACATGTGATAAAAGAACAGTTTTGTCTTACAGCGTAGAATTTGGCAAAACATTCACTATGAGTGGTAAGTGAAATTTGGCCTCTACCTCTTGTGGAACTTGCAAACCTTAGAATTCTGATTTTCTGCACTAGTTTTTTGACTGACTGACTGACTATATTGCCTTTGGGGTATCATCTTTACTGTCACAGAGAACTAAAGATTCCTTCCACTGAACGATTTCTGAAACCCTCTTCAAATTTTCCTCTTTTTTTCACCCCGAGAACCCCTTTCTATTTATTCTGAGAAAGGGATGTCTATTTCTAAGCCGTAGTATGAAGCTTTTACTTGCAAAATATCATCTAGATCAGGGGTAGGCAACCTTGGCTCTTTTATGACTCATGGACTTCAACTCCCAGAATTCCTGAGCCAGCTAGTATGAGAGAGAGAGAGGAGAAAAAAAGTGAGTTATGGGTAAAACATTTTTAATCTTAATGTCATTCTCAGACATTTTAGAAAATAAGAATTTCATGATTTTTTCTGAATACATCCCTCCTTGCACTTTGGATTAATTATATAAAATTTGTTTCTTTTTGTTGCTTTTTCTCTGAATTAAAAGATTGTATTACTTAAGTGCAGGAGTAGAAAAGGGGAAGTGCCATGAATTGATTTTAAATGTGAAGATCATCTACACCTATCATTTCTTTTCCAGACAACCAACCATTCCTGTAGAATTAAAAGACTATATAATGTGTTACTGTGTAAATTTTCCTTCATTATCCCAATAAAATAGTTATTTTTGCAGATTACCTTTCCAACACCAAATTTATTTATTTATGGATGGATGGATGTATATACTTTTATCTTGCTCTTTAGTCAAAAGTTCTCCAAGTGAGATTGGCAAAATCAGCAATAATTTGGGTCCTTTTTCAGGTTTAAAACTATTTAAAAATTATAACATATAAGGAGAGGAGAAGGGAAAAGTTCATTCAATTCTATAAGACACAGGGAAAAATTCGTTACTACAGCAATTAATAGAAGGTAGACTATAGATAATTCTAACAGTAATGGAAATTGCATACTTTTTCTATGGATGAAAAACCCAGTTTGAAAACACCCAGTTCTTATGACACGTTCTCTGATTCAAATATGTAAATTATGGCTTTTAAGGTTAGAATTCAAAAGCAGGGGGTTTTTTTAATTGAAGGAATGATTTCTTATCACTAGGGTGTCTAAGCACCCCATGGGCACTTCCAAAATATAGAGAAATTTGAGAGGTCCTTCATGCTCTCTGAAGTTGGTTGTTTTCTTGCAGATGTTTCATTATTCAAACTAGGTAATATTGATTATGTTAAACCAAGTTTGGGAATGAAACATCCGCAAGAAAACAACCAAACTCACAGGGCATCAAGGACCCTTCATTTCAACCCTGAGCTACAAACATTCTCTTTTATTGATAGGCAAATTTCCCAGACATTATATTACAGGAATAATTCATGTATTAAATTTGATCTAATCTGTGTAGGAGGAGAAAGCATGTAAAATAATTTGATGAACCATAGTCACAGTATTAAAATTATCTTTAAAAATAGCTTCTTTTTATTTGACAGGCTCATCAAGATTTTAATGCCCTCAGTTAAAATCCATTTAGCACAAAGAAGCCAAAATCTCTTCAGAAGCTGGCTCACAGTGGAAGACGAAAGAATATGTCAGCTTGTCTGCCCCTTCGCTGCTTTCAGATTTCAATGGCTGAACAATGTCTCAAAGGTGAAAGAATCCCTTTTTGCTAGATATCAGGGAACACAGGCAAGGCAGATAAAAGGCTAATCACAGCTAGAAACAAATCACTTAGGATCATAAACTGCACATCAATGAAAGACCAGCACAAGTATGGTGTTAGTTTCCATTTTTTGCAAAGTGTCATCTGTATGTCTTTTTCACACAGAGATATGGACAGAGGGTATCAGGTTGTGGACTATATGCGCTGGCTGTAGGCAAGGGGGCAGGCAGCACATATAATCCATAACCTGATACACATTTGCACAAACAGACAAACAAAGCATTTTTATTCAACCATTAATCTCATTCACACACTGCACCAAGCCAAAGCTTGCTTAAATGTGATTTATTGAAGAAAAAAATGGGTGATTACATGCCAGCAATAAATTTCTTAACTTGATTTGTAAATTTATTCTTTCTTCTCTTCTCTCTCTCACACACACCCTTCCTACCTCAGCTCAGTACATAAGAAAGTGGAGGAATATATTTCCTATCTCCTTGTGCTTTGAAAGCCAACAACTCCCCTCAACTTTATGCTGTTCAGTTGTCTGCAACACTGACCATGAAAAGTAGCAAGCTATACAATAGGATGTCAACAATCCTGTTATCTCCCACCATGTTCAGGGCTGGAAAAAACCAGCTGATTGGCACATACTTTGCTTTTTCCAACTTCAATCTAACCAGCAGCAAAATGCCATTTTCTGGCTAACCTTAAAGTCAGCTAAGTCCATTCGTTACTCTTTCCTCTTATATAAATAAGGGGGTCCAAGCTATTTGTATGTGTTTAGCATTATAAATGAATTATTTGGAACTTCTGGGAAAGAAACGGAGAACTGAAAACAGTTCCACCAAAAGCAAAG